TTACCTGGGCAGCCTTGAGCTGTCTCCCTTGGTCCCTTGGCCTCTCTGTGTCACTGTTCTTTTGTCTCTGTGTCCATCTCTCCCTCTCTGGGTCTCTCCCTGTCTCTGTTACCATCTCTTCCCCAGCTCCTGGCCCATCCCCTCCCCACCCCCCTGCTGCAGTCCCCTCCAGCCCACTCTGTGCCCTTATCTGGGTCCGCCCTGCACAAATGCTGGGAGCCCATCCCCATGACAACGGGGCAGATGGCGGCTGCGATTAGCCACTCTCCCTCCCTCCGCAGCTCAATCCGTCTTTGAAATTAAATCAGCTGCGATAACATCGACCTACCGGCCAGAGGGAGGGTGGCTGGGGAAGGAGGCTGCCTGAGCCCCACCTACCCACCCCAGGCCCGGTGGGGGCAAGGACCAGAACCAGCTCCCGCTATGGCATGTGGCCTCGGCCAGGCCTCTTGTCCTCCAAGCCTCAGTTTCCCCATCTGTACAATGGGGGTGAACAGCCGTATCTCTTTACGGGGGTCAGGGAAAGGCTGGAGGCAAAGCCCCTGGGGGGACCGGTGCTCGGCAGGGATAAGGACACTACAACTGCCCCTGCCCAGTCCACATGGAAACCTGAGCCCTGGTGGGGAAGCCCTGCCCTGCCCAGCCTCAGAGGCCAATGGCATTCAGGCTCTCCCAGCTGTTCTGGTAGCAGAGAGGCTGCAAACCTGGTTCCCCTCTGCTCTGTGAGCTGAGTGCATCTCCCCAGAGCTCTCGGGGGCCCTGGCTTGTAAAATGCTCCAGGGTCATTGAATCCTAGCACCAGAAGGACATGCTTGGGCACTGTTTCACCCAGTCCCTTCCCCACAGGATTTTGGGGACATAGGACTGGAGGGTGGAAGTGGGGACCTCCGAGTCTGAGGCATCTCTAAAGAAGTAACATCTGAGCCAAGATCAGAGGGATTGGCCACCCTTAGTGGGTAGCTGAGGGATTCTAGGCAGTGGGGCCGGCAGGTGCAGAGGCTGAAGGCAGGGTGAACATGTGAAGAGAACTGGAGCCCAGAGAGTGGGGAGAGTGGGAAGATGAGCCTCAATCCTAGGGGGCAAGAGGGAGGGCCTTCCAGAGACCAGGGAGGTGGGTCCAGGCACAGTGTAAAGCTGCAGAGGCCCTGAGGCTGGACGGGCCAGATGTGTGTGTAGGACAGCAAGGAGGGCAGTGGGACTGGAGCACAGCAAGCCCTGGGGATGCTGGGGAGGCCACCAGGTCAGATGACAAAGGCTTTGTGGGAACCTGTGAGGACAGTGACTTTTACTCTGAGTGCCCCACAATGCCCTCAGATTCTTCTGGGTGCTGGGAAGAAAATAGGACGGAAGAAGGAAAAGAGGAGGCTGGGAGGCCAGGGAGGAGGTTGGCATCACATCCAGGGAGCAACCGTGAGGACGTGGACATTAGGGCCAGAAGTTGAGGGGGGAGCCCTCCACCCCGGAGCCTCTGCCTGGGGCTCCATGCTGGGGCTAGGGCAACAGCAGGGACTCCATATGGTCCCACCTCTGGGTGCCCCAGCACAGGGTCAGGCCTGAGCCTGGTCAGCCAGCCCCTCCCTAGACACATAGGGCCATTGGGCGGGGTCAGGTCTTCACTGTTGTGGTCCCAGCACCCAGTGCACAGCCAGGCCCAGAAGAAAGTCTGAGTGAAGGAGACTTGGCAGAATGTCCTGCCCCAGCTTGGCTTGGTGAGGCCTTCCCACAAGTAACACGGAGTGGGGGCCTCAAGGTATAAATTTAACAGGCCAGAGGAGATGAGACATGCAGGGAACAGCATGATATGGCTGCAGTGACAGGATGTGGGCTGGGACCATGAGTACTGGTGCAGGGGTTGGATCTCATCCCAGCCATGCTCCTCAGCAGGCCAGTCAAGTGTAGGCTTCAGTTTCTCCATCTATAAAATGGGACTAAGGGTTGGTGCAAAGATTCGGCCTGGCAGCTGGGGACAGGTGACATGCTTAGCTGAGCACGCTGGCTCTGCAGGAGTTGAAGCAGGGGAATGCCCAGAGAGGGCTGTGCTGGGGAGAGCCAGCTGCAGCTATAGGTGTGGGGCTTGAAGAAGGGAAGAGAGCACAGACCATCAGCCGCAGCCCAGGGGTCCTTGGGGTGCTTGGTGACACCAGTGCCTTGTAAGCATCCAGATTTCTGCTCTGCATCCAGCTGCTGGACCGTGTGGCTGCCTGGGCTGCCAGGGCATAACTGGATTTGCCCAGCAGCCGTCTGTGCTAAGCAGGCCCACTTGACGCAGCCACAGCTGGCCAGTAATTGGTGAAATTAGCGAGTCGGCAGGGACAGAGGTCAGGTGGTTAATGCTGTAGTGGGGGCTTTGATGAAGTTAGTCCCACAGCAGGACTGGGAGCTGGGTTTGACCTTCTCTGTGTCACAGGCTCCCCTGCCCAGTGGGTAACACGGTTAGGGAGCCTCCAGCTGCTGTCCTGTCCCAGAGGTCCTCAGAGGTGGAACCTAGGGACTCACAGCCTGGCTTGAGCCTCAAGATGTAGGCAGGCCACTTGCTGTGTCCTCTTGGCCAGTACACTGGCAGCAGCCAGGGGGCTTTGCACATCTCAAAGATCTTAGGGTGATGCCCCTTGGTTTCCTGGAAGGGGCTGTCAGCGTGCTCCCTTTGGAGAAAAGTGCCAGGCCACTTCCTAGCCTCTATCCCCCAAGAATGCTCCTCAGCCAGATGCTCCTCTGCATCTGGGAAGGGGATGAATTCCTCAAGGAATCCAAACCCTACCTTTCCCACTAGGTTCAAGGCCTGCCAGTGGGTTCTCTTGTCTTCAGGCCCAGAGGTTGTCCTCCAAGAACATGCCTTGGTTCTTGCTATTCCCTGGAATGGTGTGCTCCCACCTGCTTTCATGTTATATCGTTTCTTGGGCATTCACTAGATGCCAAGTGCTGTGAGTTGGGATGCAGAAGTGACCAAAGTATGATCAGGTCCTAGTCCACTTGGTGCTCAGACTACCTTCTCTGCCTGTATCATGTCCCCTCTCCCTAGCCTGGGAGCCGCAGACCCTGTCACTGGCCATCACTGAGACTTCTAACCTGAAATCACCTCCTTTTCTGACTCTTACTCCAGCCCTCAGGGAACAAGGAATTGCCCACAGGCTGATCCTTCTATAGACAGGATCATGCACATTCTCTCACTCACACCCGCCTGTCACTTTTGTAACAGTGACAATTATTATATTTAATGCAGGTCCTTTGGAGTCAATACCTGGGGTGAAATTCTGGCTCAACCGCTCCAGAATTTCTGTGCCTCATTTTCCTTTTGGATAACACGGGCTGATGAACACTGCCTTGGAGAGTCGTGGACATTAAATGGGACTCTGTGTATACACCTTATTCGCTTCTTGGCTATTCCTCCAACAGGACAGGCCTGCTCCTGCCTCAGGGCCTTTGCACGTGCTATCCCCTCTGTCCAGAATGCTTTTCCCCAGATAGTCACATGGTCCAAGGTCTCACTTTTATTCCAGTTCCTGATAGACAGAAGGGCCTTCTAGAGCCACCTGACTCAACAGTCCCCTGCCTATCCCCTCAGTCACCCACCCTCCTCAGCTCACCTGCCTGTGTCTCCACTCCACATTTCATGGCTACTGAGGACCATATTCTGTACCCCTGTTTTCCCCTGGCCCCCTCAGCTAGAATGCGGACTATAAAAGGCAAGGGATTTGTTTCCCCCCCTTTCTTATTCCCAGTACCTAGAACTGTGCCTGACCACAGTAGGTGCTCAATAAATACTTCTTAAATTACATTGAATTAAAAGTGCCTGACATCCAAGTTTCAAAGTGAAACTTTACTTCAAAAATAAGTATTTTTAAAAGACTGGCTCTCTCTGGGCAGCGCCTATGGCTCAGTGAGTAGGGCGCTGGCCCCATATACCGAGGGTGGCAGGTTCGAACCCGGCCCTGGCCAAACTGCAACAACAACAGCAAAAAAATAGCCAGGCGTTGTGGCAGGCACCTGTAGTCCCAGCTACTGGGGAGGCTGAGGCAAGAGAATCACCTAAGCCCAAAAGCTAGAGGTTGCTATGAACTGTGATGCCACGGCACTCTACCAAGGGCAACACAGTGAGACTCTGTCTCCAAAAAAAAAAAAAAAAAACAACTGGCTATCAGGTCACCAGAACACAGCCCCTTCTCTTTCTCTGCACCGGCACTCTCCCATGACAGGGAGCTCACTCCCCCTAAAGGGAGCCTGCCTTGCTCTAACTTGGAGAAAGCTCTGGCTCTGCAATGCTTGGCCCTGCTTCCTCCCCCCTGGCCCCTGGGTCCTAGGCATTGGTCCAGAGTGTTTGCAAAGGCTCCGCGGCTGCAGGAAATTTGGTGCAGAGGAGGAACGGAGGAAGATCAGAGAGGGAGGCGGGAGGTGGACAGGGGTCAGGCACCAGGGCCTGTGGTGAGGTGCTTAGAGCAAGGGGAGCCATGCAGGCAGTGTGACATACCTTGGGAAGAATTAGTTGGGAGAGGGGGATGGCTGAGAGCTGCAGCAGAGAGGCCTGAGTGTGGCAGTGGCTGGCACTAGAGAGCAGAAGCAGGGATGGGGCTGAGTGTGGCAGTGGCTGGCACTAGAGAGCAGAAGCAGGGATGGGGCTGAGTGTGGCAGTGGCTGGCACTAGAGAGCAGAAGCAGGGATGGGGCTGAGTGTGGCAGTGGCTGGCACTAGAGAGCAGAAGCAGGGATGGGGTGGGATTGGAGGCAGATCAAGACGGAGAGGGGCAGTGGCGGCATTTGTCAACCCAGATGGCAAGCATGGGAGAGGTGATAAACCACTAGAACAGAGGCCCTGGGCTTCCCGTGAAAACAGCCCAGACTTGGGAGGCAGCAGCCACACCCTCACTGTGTGTGCCCTCGAGCCAGAGCCAGCCACTCCAGGGTCAGCAAAGATCTCCCGCCCCCCACAAAGCTGGGGAGCTGTTTCCATGAACTCACTTGGCACATTTATTAACCATCAGCCTACATCTGTGGCCCCCTGTGGTGGTGGCAGCAACAGGAAGGTAAGACCCGGGTGGTCAGCTCTTACTTGCTGTCCACCCGCTTGAGCTGCTCTTTGCCATTAATGGTCACCGACTTGAGCTGCCCGTCCTCCTCCACCTCCACGCGCTCCTGCCCATTCTCCACGATGCGCTTGGTGGTGACCTTGTGTCCATTGATCATCTCAGTGGATGACATCACCGACTTGAACCCCGAGCTGCCAGAGCCAGAGCCCCCAAAGGAGGTGGAGGAGAAGGTGGTGCGGCTGCCCCCGCTGCGACCCAGGGCGTCGAAGGATGAGAAGGCTTCCATGAAGGCCGGGAACTCGCCGAAGCCGGCCGAGAAGGCCCCCCTCAGGCCATGGCCCCGGCCAACACGATCGCTGTTGAACGGGGTGTCCCAGAAGTCAAAGGAGAAGGGGTCTAAGCCACCGAAAAACTCACGAAAGATGTCCTCCGGGTTACGGAAGGTGTAGCCGGTATCAAAGGGGCTGTTGTAGGGGGTGCTGGCCCCCCCGCCAGCCCGCCAGCTGTCACAGCCTGCGCGGTCATACACAGAGCGCTTCTTGGAGTCGGACAGGACCTCATAGGCCTCAGACACCTGCTTGAACTTCTTCTCAGCCTCCTCCTTGTTGTCAGGGTTCTTGTCGGGGTGCCAGCGCAAGGCCAGCTTGCGGTAGGCCTTCTTGATGTCCTCTGGGGAGGCGCTTGACTGTACCCCCAGCACTTCGTAGTAGTTAGCCATGCCAAGCGGTGAGTGGGACGAGGTGGGATGCAAAGGCAAAGTGGGCACGGGAGCCCGGCGGGTCGGAGGGGTGCGGTGGAGACAGCAGCTGGTGTGGACCCCTTCAGCAGGGCCCCGCTGGAATCTGCTGGCTCCGGGCGAGAGTCTGCCCGGGAGTTTACCTTTTCATAGTATCCGTTCTCAGGGACAGGTGGGGACTCTGCTGAGAGGGGTGGGGGGAGGGGAGGGATACTGCCACTGCCACTGTGGCCAAGCCAGGGAGGACCCTCCTCCAGAGCTAGAACCAGGCCCTTTGTGACATCAGCTCCTAGGGCGGGGCAACCACCCACCCCCAGCTCTGGACCAGGCACAGCCTAGCACATGGGCCTGCTGGGGCCAGTGGGGCTGGCTGCCATGGTGGGCTTAGAATGGAACACTCAGTCCTGCTGGGATTCCTGGCTGAGCCCTCAGGAGCCAAAGAGCAGAGGCAGGATCAGCTATGGGGTCCCAGTCCAGGTAGGCATTAAAAGTCAGTGGCAGTGGCCAGGGGAAGGGAGCAAGGGCTTCCAGGGAACCGTCCACAGAGCCCAGTGGCCAGATTGCTGCTGTGGAGCTAGAAGGCAGGATTGGGAATCAGGCAGGCTGGGAGAGGGACAGGAGTGTGAACTTCCTGTGCCTCATCATCTCATCAGATCATCAGAGGTACACTTCATGAAGGCAGGGATGTTTGTCAGAGTCTAAGACAGTATCCGTCTTTTCAGCACACAAGGGCAATCAGTAAACATCTGTTGGATGAATGAGGCTCAGAGACATACAACAACATGCTCTAGATCACACAGCATGTCAGTGACAGGGACAGAGATTTGGACGTGGGGCTGTCTTAAGGCTGTAGTGGACAGCAAATTAAGAGAAGTATGCCACCCATTCTGGTAAGAAGAATGGAGACTTATAATAAATATAGATTGGTGAGTGTAAGGGGTTGAACGGTAGCTCTCCAGAAGATGATTCCATCCTAATCCCCAGAACCTCTGAATGTGATTTTAGTTGGGAAAAGTATTTTTGCAACAGATAATTAAAATTAAGGATGTCAGAACTGGGCATGGTGGTGTGCACCTGGCTGAGGCAGGAGGATCACATGAGCCAAGACCAGCCTGGGCAACACAGCAAGACCCTATCTCAAAGAAAATTAAGGATGTTGAAATGAGATCATCCTGGATTGTCTGTGTGGACCCTATATCCAATGACAACCATCCTTATGAGAAACACCCAGAGAAGGGGATGTGAAAATGGTGACCAGTTGGAGGGCTGCAGCTGCAGGGACTGCAGGCAGCCCCCGAAGCTGGGAGAGGTGAGGAAGGACTCTCCCTCCAAGCCTCCAGAGACGGGTGCCCTCACTCTCATCTCAGACTCTGGCGTACGGAAGTGTGGGAGAATAGATTTCTATTGTATTAAGCCACGCAGTCCGCAAAAAGTTTTTATAATAGCTCTAGAAAACTAATAAAGTGAGTGAGGTAAGCAAAACATTCCTAGGCACTTGTATTTCTTCAAGTCTTGTTCTGATACTGGATCATATTTAGAAAACACAGTTAGCGATACCAATTAACATCTATTTCTATCTTCACCTCGTTCCCCTCCCGCTAAGATGGAACACAGTTATAAAACCACCTGCCAGCCCTGCCAGTGGAACACCTCGGCGTTTGGGTCACAAATTCTTCATTCACTAGGACGGCCTTGCTCTTCCTTCTCTCCTTCCTTCCTTCATTGCTCTCCTCTGTCTCTTCTTCCTCTTTCTGGTCTTTATTCATTTCTCTCAGTCTCCCTCACTCTTTCAATACTCACTGGAGCTGGGTTTCAGCCCCTGGCAGGGACAACATGTTCTAACCCATCCCACATGCCAGCAAGGATGGAAGCAGACTTGGCAACTCCGACCTCTGGTGACCAACACTGTCACCTCACCAGGAGCACAACTTGTCTTCTGTGCCCCACATCCGTCCACTCACATGTGCTAACACGTCCTTGGCAGAAGATTTGAATGGAAGAAGAACTCCTCAGGGTGTAGCTGCGGAGGAAAACATCACCGTACTTTCATGCTGTGTTTTGTCACGCCACGTCTGTTGCTGTAGTTAAAACCTGTTCTTAGAGCTGGAGAAAGATGCCCACCCTCCACAGTTCTCCACAACGGGGGTGGCAGCAGGAGTGGTGCTGTCATTGGCCGTGATGCAGGTGGAGACAGTGACACTGTAAGTGTCCATGGTGATGGAGTAGGCGCCATTGAAGTAGCAGAGGTGACTGTGGTAGCAGTGTTGGTGTGAAGGTTTTGGTCATAGTGGGACAGTGATTTTTTAGGTTGGTGATAGTGGAGTTGGTCATGGTGGCGTCACACTGATGGTGACAGTCGCAATGCTTATGCTGTAGACAGCAATTTGTGGTGGGGATGGTGGGAATGGTCAGACCAGAGGTGGTGGGAATAATGAGACAGGTGATGGTAGGGGTGGTGGAGGTGACAGAGGAGCTAAGTTGGGAGGAGGTGGTGGTGATGGTGACGACAAAGGCAGAGAGGTAGTGGCAGCTGTGAATCACTCCACTTTGCCACAGCAGCAGCTTCCATATCCCAGCAGCCTACGCAAACTCATAGTTCCTGCCCACTTTACACGTCGGCACCTCGGGCCAGCCGCGGTGCCCTGCTCCTCACATCTTCTCATGCGGGGTCCCAGGTTGAAGGAGCAGCTCTGAGTGAAGCATCCCGTTGTCGTGGCCGAGGGACCAGGCAGAGCTGGCAGAAACTGGAGCTGCCTCTTAAAGCTTCTGCCGCAGTGCGGTGGGCAGTGATCTGGCCGGGTCAGATGGTCAGGACCAGTGTCCTTGGGTGGGGAATGATACACCTTCAAGAAGCTTCTGTAAGTCTCAAGGTAACAGCTGGGGCAGCATGACATTCTTACCGGGAGGACTGACTGAGTGATTCTACATCACACGCCAGGTGCCCGTGGAAGGGATGAGGGAAGTGGTAGTGATGGCAACCCTGCTTGGAGCAGTGATGATGCGGGACACCACTGGTGGTGCTGGGCGGGGGGGGGGGAGGTGGCAGAAATTGTAATATCAATGGAGGATAGTGGTGAGGAGAGGGGTTGAAATGGTAGCAGGGGTGGAGGGCACTGAGTGGTAGGAAGGAATGCTGGTGGGGGTGACAGTGTGAGTGCTGATGGGGCTGGGTTTGTGGGAGTCTGGATTTTCTGCTGCTAGCTCAGCATTACCAACACCCTCTCCTATGCATCCTAGAGCAGTCCTGCGCGGGCATCCAGATCCCCTCAGCCATATGGTTCCAGGCTAGAGTCTGCCAGTGCACAAGATTTGGAAAGTGGAAGAGAGTCACCAGCTGCGGGCAGGAGATGATGGCCAGGTTTGCAGCAGCTCTGCTGCCAACCTACTGTACCAGGGCTGCAGGCTTCCCAGGACATCACGAAGGCCCCCGTAGCTCCCAGGTGGGCTCTAGAGAGCCACGCACTTTGGAGCTGCAGACTGAGGTCATCATGCTTCCGCTCCCTCACTGCTGGCCCCCCAGGCTGTGCAGGCAGCATGTGAAACAGTCAATGACCATGTGCGTGTGAGGGTGGCAGTGGCTCAAGGGAAGGTGACAGCAGTGGTGGAGGTGGGCTTGGTAATCGTGGTGAGGATGCAGGTGGAGACAGCAGAGGAGGTGTGGAGGTGACAGGGGAGGGATCAGGGATGATGGGTGTCTATGTGATGGTGATACTGGTGAGGATGGTAGTAATGGTGGCTTTGCTAAGAAGGCTGAGGTTCCCAAGACAATGTAGTCAGGACAGTGACATGGGTGGTTACAACAAAGTGAAGAGAGCGAACCCGGGATGATGAGGGAGACTGTGCATTGTCTAGACGAGTCCCCGGCCCCAGGTTCTTCTCTCCTGCCTTCCGGCCTCCGGAGCTGGCCTCCCTGTCTTCTCAGGAGCAAATTGCTGGCCAGTGCTAGTTCCAGAGCCCTCCTTCAGCCCCTGTTCCTTGTTCAGCCTGAGACCACCGCCTTGGCTGGGTGTGCAGGAGTCAGCTGTATGAAGACAGGACTGGAGACCCCTCACTACCCTCTGGGCTCAGGGCTATCCCGGGGCACAGGGAACAGACTGCTTAGTGGGACTCCTGGGCTGGGCACGTCACATGCAGACCGTAACCCCTCATTGCCAGAGGCACCCTAAAAGTAGAGGGGCCTTCAGAGGTGGGATGGTGTAGGACCTTGGAGCTGGGTAGCATGTGGACCGATTTCCTCTTCTGTTAAATGTTCAGACTCATTGACACTAGTCTTCAGGGAGCCCAGGAGGAGTAGTAGGGCCTCTACCCCCCCCCCAACACACACACAGGGTCCTGGAAAGACGCACAGCCACAAGTGCCAGCTCAGGGGCACCTTCCTGCCTCCTACACAGCTGGTGGTGAAAACACTCCCTCTCAGGGCTTCCTCCTCCCTGGAGAGCCAGACGAGCCTCCTGGCCTCTAATGTCCCATGTCCCTGATCCCAAGCCCACCCTACAGCTAACCTCCTGAGTCATAGCCAAGGAAGAGAAAGAGGACATTAGGTGGCCGGGTGATATTGGTCACCAATTAACAATGCCCAGGGAGGCCCAGAGAGGGCAGGGCACACCCAAGGTCACACAGCAGTACCAGGAAGGCCTCCCCAGAGCAAGCTGATGGAGCCGATTAGGCAGCCAATTGGCATTCTGAGCAGCCAGAGGCCCCTCTCTGTCTCTGTAATTAATGGAGTGGCTTTTTAAAAGGATTCTAATCACCCCCGATCCTATCTGCTTATCACTAGAGCTCCTAATTAGATGATCTTGGCAGTCACTGGCTAATTCCCTCCAGCCCCATGCAGCCCTGCCCGGCCTGGGGCAGCACACCCTAACCCCCACCCACCGTGGCCCAGCCAGATGGGCAGTTTGGGGCCTTCTCTCCCCTCAGGGCCCCTGGCCCTCTAACTACATTAACTCCAGGATGGATGAGTGACAGCCGTGGATGGATGGATGGATG